TTACATGGATGGTGTTGCCAACTTGAGAGCGCTGGCTAGTGGGGGTCCTGCCTCTTGGGGGAACGGAACCTTCTGAGAACATGCATGTTGTGGACCCACATGCTTCACTGGCCCACTCACGAACTGGGAAGCCCATTGCGAGCCAGAGCTCCGAAGGTACAAACCACCTTGGATTTACGCCTCCAAATCTTGGGACACCTTGAGGAAGCATAAGCAGGCCTCCCGATTTGGTCAGAGTCGGCAGAGCGCCGTTAGCACGCACCCTCACAACCCGCTTGTCTGGGTTCTGGTTGACATTGCACGCCATCCAGGGGTTCTTCTTCATGTACAGAGAGTACCTACTCCTCTCGCCAAGCGTGATGCTGCCCAAGAAGGAATCCCTGGGGTCCTGGACGGGACAATTAAAACAACACATCGCGGGAGCCCTCGACCCTTGAAGGCCCCTCGACCCATGCTCTCCGACCCCAAGGGCCGCCAAGGGCCCCAGACCGACGGAAACAAAACAGGAACACTGACGCTGTTTACAAGGTTTGTCATATACGGTCCTTGAACTTGCCATTACTATAGATGCCGCTAACCCCAGCCCAGCGTTGCTGAACAGCTGGCCGATTTGCAGACCATCGCCTTTCATGTTCGACCTCTGCGGGCTCTGCAGTGAGGAAGGCGCCCCACTTGAAGGTGACGTCTGTGCGACGGCCACAAAGATCGCCAATGATCGCAGGAAATTGCAGAGCATCAAAGACCTTGTCTTCCTCTTCTGCGACGCCCATCTGCTGCAAGACGGGCGACAACCACGACTTGAGCACGAGCAACACGAGCTGTCTATCCCGAGCAGTCGGCCAGCCCAGTTCAGTAGGGGTCATGGGCACGCGTATGATCCAATAGAGATCTCCAAGCGTGCGCCTGAGATCACTAAGCCCAAACCCTGGAACGTTCTCGTGTATGATGATGGGGTTCAACAGCATCCTCATGATCGCGCACCAGACCCAGAACAAGAAGTGGCTCTCCCCTGAATCCTGCCTACGATCGCCGAAACTGCTATGATGTACACATGGTGATCCTGCTCGGTGCACGTGCGCCCGCGTAAGTGAACAGCTCTGCTTACAAGTGAGACAGTACGCAGACAGCTTCATGGTAGCAAAGGGTAGCTCCTGTGCCAGGCGAGACCGCGACCATGGCTTGACACCCCTCACAAGCCCACATCGTTGCTTCCATACACGTGGGAGGAACGAGCAGATATCTTTAAACATGTGCTTTGGGCCGGCTGAGCTGTCGCGGGACCGAGCGTGCAGCACTTCCATGTTGCACTTCCTATTTTTCTCAATCCCCCATTCGTTCGCCAGCTCCAGGGGCGTCGGCACAGCGCCGAGATTAGGATCATGGTGTTGCTGAACAAATACCCTGACAACATTCATGATGATCTGGTCTGCAACTTCTGGTGCACCGATACCATAAAAAGAACTACTGGTAGATATGCGACGCGATGTTAACAAGCTTACGACCTCCACTGGGTTAGCATCAATTCGTTCTAATGCAGTCTGGGCCCATCGAAAAGAGTCAGCGAGATGTGCCACCACAACAGGGTCTCCTTTCGTATGTAGTGGTGGTGGGATCACAGAGAGCATGGCTTCCCACGCAAAGTGTCGCTCGGGCCCAAGACTTCACAGGACGTCAGTGTTGTTCGCAGCCTATGTGATGCAATCTATGTTTGGGCGGTGCAGCGCAATGCGCTCATGTGCCCCAAGCATTGGTCGGGAGGGAATCCCTGACCAAGCCCTGGCCCTGGAGGGCCTCACTGACCAAGCCGTCGCGAGGGAGACCGCCCCGACCCAAGGCCTGGTTAGGGAGGCCCTCCCTAACCAAGGCCTGGTTAGGGAGGCCCTCCCTAACCAAGGCCTGGTTAGGGAGGCCCTCCCTAACCAAGGCCTGGTTAGGGAGGCCCTCCCTAACCAAGGCTGGCTAGGGAGGTCCTCCTAGCCAACTATGCTCCTGGTTAGGGAGGCCCTCCCTAACCAAGGCCTGGTTAGGGAGGCCCTCCCTAACCAAGGCCTGGTTAGGGAGGCCCTCCCTAACCAACCAATGCCTGGTTAGGGAGACCCTCCCTAACCGGCCTGGTTAGGGAGGCCCTCCCTAACCAAGGCCTGGTTAGGGAGGCCCTCCCTAACCAGGGCCTGGTTAGGGAGGGGCTCCCTAACCAAGGTCTGGTTAGGGAGGTCCTCCCTAACCAAGGCCTGGTTAGGGAGGCCCTCCCTAACCAGGGCTGGTTAGGGAGGCCCTTTCCAAACCAAGGCTTTGTTAGGGAGGCCCTCCATAATCCAAGCCGGTTTGGGAGGCCCTCCCTATCCTAAGGCTTGGTTAGGAGGCCCTCCCTATACAGGGCACCCCTGGTTAGTGAGGGCCTCCATTAACAAAGGCCCTGGTTAGGGAGGCCCTCCCTAACAGGCCTGGCTAGGGCCTCCCTGGGCCAACCAATGCCTGTTAGGGGGGCCTCCCTAACCAAGGCCTGGTTAGAGGCCTCCTAACCAAGGCTGGTAGGGAGGCCCTCACTAACCAGGGCCTGGTTAGGGAGGCCCTCCACTAACCATGGCTGGTTAGGGAGGCCCTCCCTAACCAAGGCCTGGCCTGGTAGGGAGGCCCTCCCTAACCAAGGCCTGGTTAGGGAGGCCCTCCCTAACCAAGGCCTGGTTGGGGAGGCCCTCCCTAACCAAGGCCTGGCTAGGGAGGCCCTCCCTAGCCAACCAATGCCTGGTTAGGGAGGGCCTCCCTAACCAAGGCCTGGTTAGGGAGGCCCTCCCTAACCAAGGCCTGGTTAGGGAGGCCCTCCCTAACCAACCAATGCCTGGTTAGGGAGGGCCTCCCTAACCAAGGCCTGGTTAGGGAGGCCCTCCCTAACAGGGCCTGTTAGCTCCCTAACCGGCCTGGTTAGGGAGGCCCTCCCTAACCCTCCCTAACCAGGGCCTGGTTAGGGAGGCCCTCCCTAACCAACCAAGGCCTGGTTAGGGAGGCCCTCCCTAACCAAGGCCTGGTTACTCCAAGGAGCTCAAAGGATTCAAAACCGCC